GGATCATCTTTAAGGTCTTGTTAGCTTGTTCATAGTTTTAATTTTGAAATTTAAATTCTGGAGAACTTTTTAAACTATTTTATTTTTTATTACTTATTTTTATTACATATACAGTGTTCTTTCTGCATATTTGCCTGCTGGCCAGAAGAGGGCACCAGATCTCATTACAGATGGTTGTGAGCCACCATGTGGTTGCTGGGAATTGAACTCAGGACCTCTGGATGAACAGTCAATGCTCTTAACCTCTGAGCCATCTCTCCAGCCCTTAATTCTGGAGAACTTTTAAGATGAGACCTTTTGGAGCTTCTGCTTGGTTCACTTTGTTAATCTGTGTAGGCTGCCAAAAAAAAAAAAATGCCACAAGTATAAGTCTGGGTGACTAATGTAGCAGAAATTATTTTCTCTGTTCTGGGGACTACAAGTCCAAGATCAACATGGCAATAGTGTTGGTGTCTGGTGAGAGCTATCCTTGGGTTACAGACAGCAGTTTTCTAGTTCTGCAGTGACTTTTCTAAAAGGACACTAACCTTGTAGCAGCAGGGCTCCATCCTTGTGACTTCATTTAACTAACTTCCTTCGTGGCCCCATCTCCAAATTCTGCCATACTGGATTTAGGGCTTCAATATAACCAATTATGAGACTGAGACAAACATTCAATTTTAAAGACAGGACAGCTCCCAGCACTGTGTAAGGTTTACTAGATCTCTTCTGAATTTCATGGAGCTTCACCCTTCTGAGGACCCGGACTAGCCTTGGCCTAGCATGTGCATGCAAAAAGTTGAGGCCAACATGAGGCTTGCTCCACATTTCTCTTCCTTCAAAATCCTCAGAACTGCCCAGCCTATTACTCATTTCCCACAATGGTTGTTTCATACATTCTATAGCTGTTTTTGGTAGAATAGCAAATTGATACCAGATCTGTTGTTCTTCTTGGAAGCAGAAGACCAGTCATGAGTTCTTATTTGCAAACAGTAGGAGGAGCTTGAACAATTTCTTGGCGAAGCTCTTGTTTTATGCAATTCATTTTCTATTACTGATACAGCCTGTTGTATTAAAAGTTTTATGGGTAGACTTGGATGCTTTTCCAAGCTGTGCTGGGAACATAATGGACTATGTGGAGGAGATTTGTTTCTTGTAGGTATTGAAGGAGTGATTCTTGGGATATTGTTAGACTCTTACTGCACTCTTTCACAATGTATTTGTGGTTCTTTGTATAGAGTAATCAGAACCTGGCGATGAAGTGTTATGACTTACACCCACCAAACTCTGGTAGTTTAGCATTTAGTCCCCAGGCGGGCTCTTTGAGCTCTCTCCCCTCTATGCATTTGACATGGGATAATGTAAGATACAGCTCTAGTACTGGGCAGAGTGGCATGCTGTAAAAGAAAGGCTTCTTAATTATAATATTTAAAAATTTTCCAGGAGTTTAAAATATTCCTCAGTACATAATTTAACTGTTACTTAGCTCACATGAAAAATGAAGTCCATTTTGGCAGGCCATTATAAAGTCTTCACTTTTATACATTTTTTAAAAAAGAATAATTGTGAGTCCTATATTTATATAGAGTAAACTAGGCTTGATGAATATTCAGATAAGAATACTTCTGTTTTCTATGGGATTCAAATCAAGCAAACAGTATTTTCTTTCTGCATTTTTGTATTATTGGTAGGCTTTTGGGAGTATCCAAATAAGCTCTGTACCTGTTTGTAGCATGTGGCCAAAACTGAAAAAGTAATCATGAAAAGTTGTGTTCTAGAAGAACTAGTTAGATGGTCCAAGATTAGACCTGATTGATTGAATGATTAATTGATTGATTGAGCAGTGTATGTATGTTTTATGCATGGGGTAGTCAACAAAGTTGGTAATGATAGTGCTAACTTCTCAGATAGGTGAGAAAGGGCACATTCCTTTGTTGTTTTTCAATACAGGGTTTCTCTGTGTAGTCCTGGCTGAGAACAGGCTGGCCTTGAACTCAGACATCCTCCCGCCTCTGCTTCCCAAATGCTGGTATTAAAGGTGTGCACTGCCATAACTGGCCCTGAGGAAGGTCAGATTTTTTTTGAGGGGGGGTAGTGGTTCAAGATAGGGTTTCTCTGTGTAGCTTTGGAGCCTGTCTCTGGAACTCTCTGTGTAGACCAGGCTGGTCTCAAACTCAGAGAGATCTACCTGCTTCTGTCTCCCGAGCACTGGGATTAAAGGCATGTACCACCACCACTCAGCAAAAGGACAGATTTTTAAATGTTGGAGCTGTTTAATAAATCTTGAGAAAATATTTTTCTATTCCTGGCTTATACTATATACTAAATGAGGATCAGATATACATGTGACAAATATACATATAACTCTTCAGATTTACATGTAAGAAATAATATACATACGAAAGAGAATATGGGTGAATATTTAATTTTCAAGTAATTCAAACTTTATGGCATATTATAAAAAGGAAGAGTTGTTGGTTCTGTAATGGCAAGTAAAACTGTCACACTCAGAGGAAGGATAGACACAAAGCCACTGTAATATGTGTGTGATTTAGTCTTCAGACTCTGAGGATAAGACTTCATGGATGAGAAGTCCTTTGCAGCCCTCTGAGCCTGGCCTTCTCCACTTTATCTCCTACATGTGTTCACAGACATAGCCATTCTTGAGTAAGCAAGCAGACCTGGAGCCACAGATACCCCAGTACTCTGCCTGTTGCCTTTTGTTGCCACGTGACACAGATACTGAGGCTCCATCTTGAGTGCTCTGCATGTTTGCTCAACAGTAAAACTTAGAGTAATCTAAGATTTCACTAGGGCCACGCTGGGCATTATCTTTAAAGCTCTTTGAGTTTATGTTCTCATCTACAGCTGTGTGGCACATTGCCATTGTACTAGCATCATAGGATGTAGAAGAGCATCCAGCATAGCCTTCATTCATACAGAGTGGTACCTACTGCAGGATTTGGGTACTGTTTGGTGTCCTAGAAATAACCATAGTGAACAAAAAATCCTCCACAATAGAGGGAGGTGAAGAAATGGGAAGTAGAAGAAATAGACAATAAGATTTATTCTCTGAAGCAGCTGTAGAATGGCCTATATATGAAGGCCTACCTATCTTTTTGAGATAGGATTTCACTATGTATCCCAAGCTGACCATGATCCTCCTATCTCAGCCTCCAGAGTGCTGGAATTATACACATGCGCTACCATACCTTGAAAAATGTAATCCTCTTCGTTTTAATACTTGGCTTATGTGGGAATGAATATGAGCAGTATCCAATACATATCAAAAACACTGAGTACTTAATGGATTATAAGCCACAGTTTGCTGATTTGTTTGTGTATGTACAGGGTTTCTCTAGGTACCTCAAGTTGGAACTCACTTTGTCGCTCAAGATAATCTGGGCCCAAATGCTGGAATTACAGGCACGAGTCATCATGCCTGGCTTACTAGCTATTTCTCACTACCATTTATAGGGATTCTGTCTGCTTCACTCCCTTCTCTTCCCCCTTTCCCTCCCCTCTCTCTTGTGAACATACACACACACACACACAATGGTAAATTATATGTAACCATTAAAGTAATGGTGTAAGACAGGGTCCCAGAACAGGGTCCTCAAGAAGACAGTACAGATTTCTTTTGGGAAAATGATATGCTTTAAAATTAGTGATGAAACTTCATAAGCATATAATTATACTAATATTGATTATTAAATGCATGAACTGTATTAGAATGTAAATTACATTTCCATAAAGATACTTTAAAAACTATATGCAAATATTCTAAGTCCTTTCATTGCTAGCTTCTTTTTGACTCATCATTTTAGGTCCAAACAAAGCATGATGTCAAGAGACCTGTCATTCTGTACCTTCAGTTTATATACATTGTTTGCATAGTCTCCATGGTATAAGTTTCCTATATTTTGTCTTTTACCCATTAGTTTCCCTCTTAGCTATTGAAAATAATATTTAATTGAACAATTTAATGTATCAAGATGGTTCAGTGAGTAAAGGCTTGCATCCAAGCGTGACAACCCGAGTTCAATCCTTGGAATCCACATGGTGGGAGATAATGACTCCCACCCCCACAAATGAGCAATGGCATATGTGCTTACACACACACATGAGTTCACGCCCACACACACGCATGCACTCTGATAAATAAATATAAAATAAAAGGAAAGGTGATGCATATTTCCTTGCATGAGGATACATTTAAAAATCTGTATTCCAGCTGGGCAGTGGTGGCACACACCTTTAATCCCAGCACTCGGGAGGCAGAGGCAGGCAGAGATCTCTGTAAGTTGGTGACTAGCCTAGTCTACAGATCGAGTTCCAGGACAGCCAGAGCTGTTACACAGAGAAACCCTGTCTTGAAAAACAAAAATAAAAAACAGTTGTATTCCGAATTAGGATTGATGGGCATTCAGATAATTCATTTTAGAAGACATTTACTGCTTTTAGAACATTTAGTTAGTTTTAGTTCATGTTGTTATAGGATACAATTTAAAACTGAAGTTAAGTTGGCCATGGTAGCTCATGTCTATAATCGCAGTTCTTGGCAGGGTGAGGCGCCCTAAAAAAATTTTTTTTTACTTAAAATTTTTTTTTTTGCTTAGGTTTATTTTATTTTATGTGCATGAGTGTTTTGCTTGCATATACGTCTGTGTATCATGTGCATCCAGGGACTGGTGTTACAGATGGTTGTGAACCACCATGTGGGTGCCAGGGATTGAACCCAGATCCTATGCAAGAGCATTAAGTGCTCTTAACTACCAACTCATCTCTCCAGAACAGCAGTGCAAGTCCTTATGTGGATTCCAGGCCAGCCTGGGTTACAGAGTGAGAGACTTTGCCTTAAAAACAAACCTTAAAAATACATAAAAATAAAACTGAAGTTAGTAGACGTGTACTCTTTGCTGAAATTCATCTATAGTTGTCTGTTTTTGACTGAGGAAAAGGCAGATCTGAATTTTTTTAAAGATATGTTCTAATTTTTATAATGTTAATATATCTTACAGAAAAAGCCACAAATGAGTACAATACCACAGAAGACTGGAGTCTGATTATGGACATCTGTGACAGGGTTGGAAGCACTCCCAATGGGTAAGATGCTCTTGGGTAAGGAGCTTGGTTAGCTTGTGACTTCACAAAGTAAATTTGAAAGGATGTTGACATGCTAATTTTAATGGAAGCATTTATTTAAATTTGCTTTGTAATGACTTACTTAACTAGCTGTTTGGTTCCAGGAGATAGAAGGAAAGAGATCAGTGGGCTAGGGTTTGTGTTAACTTTGTCCTGAGAAACCTGATCTATATTTACATAGATAACTAAAGGCTTTCACAGCAGAGATGCATGCTAACCATGAAAACATTGGCTATTGGGGGAATTCCCTATGAGGTAGACTTCTGTGAGAGCCCTTCTAAATACAATATAGAACATAAAGAAAAGATCGAGCTTGTAAAAAGAATGCTTTTTTACAGGATACAGCTGTTGAGCTGCTCTGGTTTTTCTCTAGCCAAGGGTGATTGTGCAATGTGTTTAGCATTCTGCTTTCCTAGCACATTCACGGGTGTCAGTGAGCCTTTTAAGACTCTGCATCATACTAGCTCTTTTCAGGATGAGAATATGCTGCTGGAAAGCGCTATCTGGAGAAACAGCATCTGTATGGTGTAGTTCTCTAAGTTGACTAGCTTTGTGGTGAAGTGATTTTTCTCTTATTGGAATACTCAGTCTTATGTGTGAACCACAGTGTGCAAAATCTTATAGTCTTACTTAACAAAGATGTTTGTAGAATTTTATTTTTAAAACTGTTAGTAAACACCTGGTATTTTTAACATTAAATTGAAACTCTGAAAAAATTCTTAACTTTCTCCATTTTTCTTTTTCTTTTTTAGAGCAAAAGATTGCCTAAAAGCCATAATGAAACGGGTAAACCATAAGGTCCCTCATGTTGCTCTGCAGGCATTAACTGTGAGTAAATGTCGTATCAGTTGACCCTGTTTAAAAGTGCATTCACTTCAGTTACTTAAGTCAGAACATTGTGATGTTTATATATTCATTTTTATTTTAATTGATAGCTTCTTGGGGCTTGTGTGGCAAACTGTGGAAAGATATTTCATTTAGAAGTATGTTCCCGTGATTTTGCAACGGAAGTACGTGCTGTGATAAAAAATAAGGTAAATTTTAAACCAAAAAGAAGTTTAAATAATTGCACAATAAATGTACTGTGCATTATTTTAATTATGTGTAATAAAGTTGCATTACTGATGAAACCACTTATAAATAAGTTAAAACTTCTTGTCCTTGATTTTTGATAGTTACAGCACCTAGGCTGCTTTCATATATATATATATATATATATATATATATATATATATATATATATATATATATACACACACACATACTTGTATGTCCCTACACACACACACACACTCTCTCTCTCTCTCTCACACTATTAGTAAGAGCTCATGCTGACTGAGGCCTGGTCATTGCTTTGACCATTTTGTGTAGACCACCTTGTTTTTTGTTTTTTTAACCAGTCTTGAAACTTGGCTTTGTCAAGGTCACACAGCTAGAAAGTGGTGTAGTTGATCTGGGTCTATGACTCTTGACTCTGAATTTTACCACTACTCAGTATTGATTTCCACTAGAGTTGGTGCAGAAAGGGTCCTTCATATGGGAGCAGAGAGGATGCCTCTTCTGCTCTCTTTGAAACGCAAACTCTAAAGCACCATTCCCATGCTGCTATGCATCTTGATGTAAAAAATCTAAATCTCATAGTTAGAATATTAAGAAAACAGAGCAAATAGCCTTTGGTATAAAAGATTTCTAGTTATTTGAGTATAAGTATTCTGAAAGGGTGATTTTTTTTCCTATGAAGCAACTCTGAAAATGTGACTAAGCGTCTGTCAGTTACTCACCTAGTCTAGAACTTACTGCACCTGTTGGTGTTTTTACATTTAGAGAAAAGTTCAGTGGTTCTTTGTTTTACATTGTTTCCATTTATTTTGCGAGTGTACACGTGCTCACCTGCTCATGCCACACTGTATTTTATGGAGGTTTGAGAACGGCTGTGGGGAGTGGCTTCTCCACTTTGACAGTGTGGTTCATGGGCTCAAAGTCAGGGTGTCAGGCTTGGCAGCAAGCACCTTTTCCCAACAAGCCATCTTGCCAGCTCTCTTGATGAACTAAAGTACTTACTTTAACTACATGGGATTTTTTTGTCTTTGTTTTTTCTTGTTGTTGTTGTTTCTTTTTCTTTACTACTTCTTTAAAAGGCCCATCCTAAAGTATGTGAAAAACTGAAATCTCTAATGGTGGAATGGTCAGAAGAATTCCAGAAGGACCCCCAGTGTAGTCTGATATCTGCAACTATTAAATCTATGAAAGAAGAAGGAGTTACTTTTCCTTCAGGAGGTTCGCAGGTGAGAGATTCATGCAGACGGATGTTGTTCCTCTACTGTTTGAAGGTACCGATCTCAATAAAAGCTAGCAAGGGACGTGGGTTTTATTTACATGTATGTGTCAAAACAAGAGAGTAAGAGAGTGGTGGTCAAAGGGTGACTGGTAGAGTTGGTTCCGTCCTTCTATGTGGGTCCTGAGAATGTAACTTCAGTTATCAGGCTGGGCATCAGGTAAGTACCTGCCGAGCCATTCTGCTCTTAGAAAGAATATCTTTTTTTTTTTTTTTTTTTTTTTGGTTTTACAAGACAGGGTTTCTCTGTATTGTTTTGGAGGCTGTAGGTCCAGCCTGGCCTCGAACTCACAGACGCATGTCCCCTCAACCTATAAGCTAAATATTTAAAAAGAAATATATGGTTTTGAAAGAAATTTGAAAGATGGGCCATATACAGACAAGTTACTAATTTAAATTTTAAACGGCAAATAAAGGCTGATGGGTGAAGACTAATGCTGTCTTAGCACCAAGAAGAACGAAGGACTACAGATTGAGACAGTGAGGATGCTGAGAGGAAGAATTTTGAGATTTGGATGTGGTGTTAGGTAGACTGGAAAAAGAAGAGATGGTGGGAACGGGCTGCTGTGAACAGATTCATGCAGTTGAGAATTGCCTGTTAAAAAGGGAATACATTAATGTGGAAGGTAGAACTGGAAGGCTAGGGACTCATTTGGAGACAGAAGGATAGTTTAGTAGTCTACTAAGTAAAAAAGAGCAGGCAGTCTGTCCCTTCTGCATGTCATTCCCTAAAACTGGTGTTAAAGAACTGTTGATGACTCAGTCTTAGGCGCCATCAAATTCAACAGGCCCTTCTCCAGTCTTCTGCTGAGTCTGCAAGGCTGCTCCTCTCGAACCCTAGTGTACTCCTCTCCTGTCAGAGCTCTGAGCCAAGAGCACCTGAGTGCTGTCTCTCCCTGAATAACAGATCTTCAGCAACTGAGGCCAGGAAGTGGTATCTGTTCGTTCCGTAAATACCTTCAGCACTTCCTTCATGCCCTGTTCTATCTCAGATACTTAGATTGATGTGAAATTAGTCACCGTGTGCATTTGGTGTGTCTATAATGTTTTCTTGAAAGCTGATGTTTAGTGTTAATATTTAAAACAACTATTTAAGTGATCATGAAGAGCCTTACTTTTAAATGGAGCTGAGTTACCAGTATTATCAGTATTTTTTAATTAGCATCTACACGTAATTATAGAGCTTGTGCCTCCTTTGAAAGGATAGTTGTGCTCATTTTACTTGTACGCTTGCAGACTGTCTCAGCTGCTGCCAAAAATGGTACATCATTGAACAAAAACAAAGAAGATGAGGACATAGCCAAAGGTAAGTGATCGAGCATGATAATTTGGTGCTGCTGAAAATAGCTTTACCAAGAAGTTTTATTGAAAGAAAAATTATAAAAAAAGACTATTACGCTTTTGGTTCTACCTCAGATCTAAAAGCTATAAGTTCTTAAAAGTCAGGAAAGCCAGTGACATGATATAAGATGAACCTAATTCATTTTAGTTTTCAGTAATATATGTTTAATGTTCTACCTTTAGAGAGATTACATTTCACCTTTTCTTAATGCCAGAGTTATGACTCAAGCACAGAAATATGTTCATGGTTTGTCCTATATGGAAAGCCACCCATATTATAATGTCACAATCTGTTTGCTATAAAAATAATAGCTGCTGTATATTACAGACTGTGATAATAAGGGATGAGCAAAAATGTTATTTTTAAAATGTTATGTGTCCCTGTCCTCTCGTGAATTTAACTGCTTAGAATTTGTTTGGACAGGCTTGGTGGCCTATGCCTTAAGTCCCAGACTTTGAGAGGTGGAGATGAGGATCAGGAGTTAAAGGTCATCCTCACTACTTAGTGAATTCAAGGCTACAAGAGACACTGTCTCAAAAAAAAATGAAAGAAAGAAAAGAAAAAGAAAATGCATACTTAATTTATTGTTAAATATAAAATTGCTATCTGTTATTTTTTAAACTACTTTAGGTGTTAAAATTAATTCTGGATATTGCATTTTAATTTTCCCAACTAGCTATTGAATTATCATTGCAAGAGCAAAAGCAGCAGCACACAGAGACAAAGCCTTTGTGCCCCCCTGCAGACATCCAGTTAAATAATAAGGCTGCTCGGAGAGTCAGAGCTTTATATGACTTTGAAGCTGTTGAGGACAATGAACTTACCTTTCAACATGGTGAAATCATTACTGTTTTGGATGACAGGTATGTTTTACATTTTTATTTGTGGAATATTCTGAAAACAGGAGAGTATCCTTAGCTGAGAATTCAGGTTTTTATTTTTAGTCAAACAGTGCAGTCTTCTCTTACTGTTTTCTTCAAGATTAGACTAGCTAATGAGAACCTTGATCAAAGCCATTGAAAACCATGCTTGGATCATCCCCCATCCTCACATACTGTATTCCTCCCACAATTCCTTTATCATTTAAACTTCAAGAAAAAACAATAGATTGATCTATTTTGAGCCTGATTCTGTTCTTTGCTCTTTTTTTTTTTTTTTTTTTTTTTTTTTTGGAGACAAGTTCTCACTGTGTAGCCCAAGCTAGCCTGACCTCTAAGGCCTCCTGTCTCAGTTTCCCAAATGTTGAGGTTCTAGAGAATGAAGACTTGTGTGTGAACTTTATTTTTAAAACAAGTTGACATGCTGCTGCTGGGTGGTCTGAGTGGGTCGGAGTTCTTGCCTTTAAGCCTGATGACCTGAGTTCAGTCCTTGGGACCCACATGCTGGATGAAAGTATTGCTTCTTGCAAGTTGTGCTCTGACCTTCACACAAGCATGTGCACAAATAGATAAATGAATGTAGGAATAACTCTTTTAAGTTGATAAAACTTCACAACAGTGAGACCAGACAGCTTGTTGATGTGAACAAGAGTTAGTACATGTTCTTGCTTTCCGTTCTAAATAACCCAGTGAGCCTATATTAGTCAAGTAAAGATAGGTAGATTGAATTTCTAAGGACATTATTTATCTGTGCACATGAATGCGTGTGTGAATGTGTCTATACCTCGCACCACCACCACTGTGTGTATGGGGAAGTCAGAGGATAGCCTGCAGCAGTCAGCCTTCTACCATGTGGGGATCAAACTCAAGCTGTCAGGCTCAACCTTAGCCTCCTGAGCCAAAGCTAGCCTCAGTCTAGCCTGTTTTTAAGTGGCTGTATACTTATGGTTTTGCTTTGCTGCTGTATTTATAGAGAAAATGTTATGTAATTGATAATTCATAATGAAAAATGAATGAAGACACAGTGCTGTTTTTGTGAAACGTAAGAAAGGGAGTTAAAGTACTGAGTAGACACTGATATGCAAGACATGGTGATACCATGAAAGGTTGTGGTGGGCCAAAGAGAATCAGTTTACATTTGGTGTAGATGTATGCTATAGGAGGCTTGCCCAGTGGCTGCTTTATTTCTCATAAATCTTGATGGCATTTTTTGTTCCATGTTTTTCATTGTCAAAGATTGAACCCAGGCCTTGTGCAGTCAGAGTGGTGCTTTGCCACTGTGTTATGTCTTTAATCCCTTGGATTGGTTTTGAAAATGTTTGTTAGATACTGAAAGGAGTCTGAGCATTAAATGGAAGGATCAATTAGAAAAATAAAAAACAAGCTTTAAGAAAAAGATTGGGAGCCAGGTGTGGTGGTGACACACGTTTAGTCTCAGCACCCAAGAGGCAGGTGGATCTCTGTGAGTTCAAGGTCAGCCAGGTCTACAGAGTGAGTTCCAGGACAGCCAGAACTACACAGAGAACCCTGTTTCAAAAAAAAAAAAAAATAACTGAAAAAGATACCAAGAAAGAAAAAAGGAAGGAAGGAAAGGAAAGGAAACTGACTGGGATGATATTACTCCAGTTCTGGGTTAACTGTTTATTTGTTTGTGGTAGACATAGTCTTCTTACTTGGTAGTTTTACCCATCAAGGGCATTGCCTTCCTTTTACTATTGTCACCTCAAAAGTCATCAGGACAGTGGTCTTGTGTAGTGTGCATAGCTGAAGAGAAAGGCTCAAGTTTTTCTTGATCTGAGCCTTGCACTTACTTATTTACCTCTGTGCAGTGGGGCGTGTGTGTGCTGTGTTACATGTGAAATGGTTAGAGGACAACTTAGATTTGGTCCTTTGCTTCTACCATGTGGATCCTAGGGGTCAAACTCAGGTGGCCAGGTTTGGGAAGCACCTTTAACGGAGTTATGTTGCCAGCCCAAAACCTAAAACCAGGTGGGAGAACTTTAGTTTCTCCTTTAAATCTCAGTGCAAAGGTAGGTTTCTGATTGGTTGTTTTATTTTCTTGTTTTTCCATAATGGCTGCAAGAAAATGTCATTTTTATTTCAACAGCCTAATTTCTTTTTCATCTTGACAAGTGTCAGCTTCAGTCTTCAGAAGTTACCTGTTTCGTTGCTTTTTTCTTTGTTGTAGCCAAATACCCAACAGATACAAGTGAGGACACTTTTTTTCCCCACAGAGAGTGAAGAAATTAGTATATGTAATCTCTCAGAATTATTGATACATTATTTTCTGATCTTAAGAATTTAGATGGATAGCTCTTTTATATCTTCGTGGAACTCAGTAAATGAAATGCTTCAGCATCTCCTAAGCGTTTGTGCCTACGGGCTGGAGAAAAATCTCAGTGGTTAAGAGCACTGGCTGCCCTTTGAGTGGGCCAGGATTCAATTCCCAGCACCTACATGGTAGCTCAACTGTCTGTAACTCCAGTTCTAGGAGATCTGGCACCTTCGTACCAATTCACATAAAATAAAGTTAAATGAATTATTGAAGGAAAAAAAAAAACCAGAGTTTGTGCCTAGCATGAAAACACTTTGGCTCTGGTCCCTAGTCCTAACAAAAAGAAAAAAAATTCTTTAAGAATGGCAGTCGACATATGAAATTTCTATAAAGTAGACAAAAAGGGTTACTAGGTAACTGTACTGTCCATGTGCAAAGTCCGAGACAGTCAGTGGACAGACTATTAGTAAATAGCTAAGTTTATGCTAGGGTTCATAGATACAAATGTAATATACGAAAATCAGTAGAAAAGATTCCTTCAAAATAGCAGCTATGAGCATTTAGTGCTCTTGCAGAGAGCCTGGGTTTGGTTCACTGCACCAACATGGCAACTCACAGCCATCTGGGACTCCAGTTTCAGGCAGTACAGCGCCTCTGCTGACCTCCTTGGGCTCCTGCTGCATGTGCTACACATACATTCACTCAGGCACACATGCTTGCATATAAAATAAAATAGATAGTTTTTAAATTTTATAAGTGACCCAGTAATGAATAACCTACAAAGTATATAAGGCCTTATGGAAAATTATAAAATTCTTTGAAAGTTAAGAAATAATAAAAATATATTTATAAGCATACAAATGGAAAGATATACCTATTATAAAATGATGAATCTTAATATTATAAAAATTTAGGTTTTTCTCATATCACAAATTAACTGCATTTCTAATTCAACTCATTTTGAAATTCTTTTTTCCCCAAAGAATTTGAAAAATACTTTAATTTTAATATGGAGATATGAAGGTATGCAGTAAGTAAAATAACATGACAGCAGGAGGGGTGTGGACTTTTCATGGATGTATTGGGCAGAGAAATTCATTTCCTAGGCAGATGACATAGAATTTAAAACTTATAAATTGCTGGTTTCTGCAGGCTTTTTCTCTTAATAGTTTTAGACCATGATTGACTACAGAAAATAAGACTATATGGTGAATTCCTCTACTGACTGTTGTAATAGAGAGAGATGCTAAAATAGGTTCATGAACAGATACAACTTGCTGTTTGACAGTTAGTGTATCATAAATCCTTTTTTTAAAGGTGAAGTTTTAGCAATTTGGGCTGGGTTGATTAGCTGTTCATAAATAAAATGAAGTTTGATTCACACAGTACATGCAGTTTAATTTCACATAAATTAGTTACCTGAACATGAGAGATGAACAAAAATGAAAATCTGAACTACTAGAGAAATCTTTTGGAGAACAGACTTGGTAATGCAAGGCAGAGAAAGATAGATAAACATGTAAGGCATAGAGAAAAGATTGCTGAGTTGATCTGAGAGCAGGGATGGTCTTAATTCAGACAAGTAGTTGCCATTCTGAGTGCATAAAGAACTCCAGTCCATGAGAAAATACCTGTGATCCAGCAGGAAGAGCTAAGAGGCACAGAGAAGATCGAGCTAATAGTGGACGAGGCAGTGCTCCACAGATGAGCACAAAGAGGGATGACTCACCTCTCTCTAACAGATGTAGGCATGGACAGTTTTCAAGCATGGAGAAAAGTGGCTTCCTCACGTCATCTGTAAAATTGAGCATGCTTATATCCCATGAGCCAGCAAGCTGTTGGTGTGTGTGTCCTTGCCAGCCCCCATCCGCCATCCTCCCATTTGACTCTGTCCAGATAGTAAGAACTATAGGTGTAGATGGAAGTTTCTGTCATGGGCATGTGCATTACACCTAGCTTGCAGGTCACTGTATTGAAAAGACCCTAGCTGTGGCTAATGGGCCTTCTAATCCAGAATGGCTACTATTCGGTCTTTTGTTTTTTGTGTAGTCCTAACTGTTCTGGAACTCACCTTGTAGACCAGGCTGGCCTCAAACTCAAGAGGTCCAAACTCAGGGATCTGCCAGACTCCTCCTCCCGAGCGCTGGCATTAAAGGCATGCACCAGCACTGCCCTTTGCTATTCAGTCTTTATAATGTTGAGAGACTGGGCGTGACCTAGAATGACCTAAAAGTCCATCTTCCCAGAAAGAGTAAACTAAATATAATGCACACTTGAATAGAACTTTGAAAGGGAAGAGCGGATCCAGAAGTATTGATCATAAAACTAAAAGGTACTCTATGGAGCAACACAAGTCTCTATGCAAGTGCCGGATTAGTTGTGTGTCAGTTTATGATAGAAGGTAGACAGGTAAGGAAGCTGCTGTCTGGCTTGGATGCTGGTAGTGTGGAAGGAAGGCTTTGGGCTTGGGACTTAGTCACTGGAAATTGCTTCAAGATTTAGGTAAGAGATACAGATTTTCTTTGTACTTTTAAAATATCTTTTCATTGATCTGAAAAAAAATTATTTCTGCCATTCCAGTGCTACGATTTCAGGTATATCTCAGTTCTTGTCTAAGAAAAACAGCTTACATATAGCTAGGTATAAACTAAAATTTGAAAGTATGATAACTGATTTAGTTTCCTCTTGAAAGGATGGAGAGCAAATGACTGTTTGCATGCTCTTTTTCCAGTGATGCCAACTGGTGGAAAGGAGAAAGTCACAGAGGAATAGGACTCTTCCCCTCGAATTTTGTCACGACTAACTTAAACATAGAGTCTGAGACAGGTAAGTTAACAAAGGATTTTCGTTCCTCAGAGAAACCTCAATCTGTCAAAATTATTTTCTCCTGGCTTTCATTACTGACATTGAAGAGTAGATGAGAACTGGGCTTGGCAACACACACTTTTAATCCCAGCATTTGAGAGGTAGGAGCAGGCAGATCTCTGTTCATGAACTACATAGTGAGTTCTGGGCCAGTGAGGGGGGAGTACATTAGTGTTGTGTGCCTGTAGATTTTGCAACATAACTTCTTAACTAGATGAAGGAACTCATTTATCTCATGCCAGTCTCAGGAGCTCTTTCTTTGTATTTCAGGGATTTGAGTGTTGATGTGTATGGTGACAATTTTGTAAAATGAGTATGTAAATTAAAGCTTGAGAAATTGATTGTATCTGATCTGCACAAAAGTGTTTGTGAGCTGTAGTGATGGTGGGATCCACACGGCCAGTGCCCAGTGAGAGGGCGGGCCTTGGAGTTCTTAAGTTTTGCATTTATTTCACCCTGATTTGATTGTAGTTCTCTGACTGTCACCTGCAACTCTAAATCGTGTAGTCAGCACGTTGAGTGCACAGCATTTGTTCTCCAGGAGTACTGTGGGAGATCTGAAGTGTGCAGAGGCAGCCGAGAGCGATGCTGGTGGTGGCAGCCCGATGTTTAATTCACTCACATTATTTTCCTGTCTGTGGAATCCATGCTTCCACTGCCCTGGTACAGGAGGCTCAGGGTAGCAACTGTGTCTAGTAAGGGATAGAGCCAGGATTTAATGACCTCCAGTCTGGCTGTAGAGGCTGAGGCGCAGCTGCAGAAAGAACATGGGGTGAAAACTTCATGCATTGTGTGCAGTTTGTATGTGCAGAGTGAAGCATTCAGAGAACAGAAGTTGGGTAAAGGGGAGACTTACTCATGAATTTGCAGAGTGCATTGCTTTTTCTCTGGCTCTCTTAGAACATAGGAGCCCTAGGAACTTTTCAGATAACTTTATAAACTATAGAAGACATCCTATACAGTGATTTCCCTGCCTTGACCTAGTTTGAAGGCACTGACCTACTGTTTTAACAGTAAAATATTCAGCTGGGAGTGTATTTCAGTAAAATGATTTCCTAGCATGTGCAAAGGCCTATGTTTGATCCCAGTCTCCCTTCAGTAACATTAGTAAAGGGTAGTCTTGATCCTCACTATATCCCTGTGTTTGTTGAGCTTTCTTTATGTATAATTCTAAGTTAGCCAAATACATAAGTTGGGTGCCTGCTTAATTTAATCCTTTGATTATATTGTTTTTTATAGTAACTTAGTATCAATCAAAATTTAATTAAAATCGAGTACATTCTAGTAGTGTTCCAGGAAACTTGTATTAGATAGTTTTTAGGATATGTATATTTTAAAATTATTTTTCAACACCCTCTTTATGAAATTCTTTTTTGTTGTTATTGTTAGCTTTGTACTATTTAAACTATCAGAGTTAAGGTAAATCAAGCCCACATTTTGTTCAGATAGGAAATACAGGTTGGGTTTTTATTTATAAATACAGAAGGTCAGAGTATAAAATGGAAATTATAGTTTTAAGTGAAACTGGCCAGCCTGATCTACAGAGTAAGTGCCAGGACATGCTCCAAAGCTACACAGAGAAACCCTATCTTGAAAAATCAAAAAAAAAAAAAAAAAAAAAAAGTGAAACTGCTTAGTGATAAATCTATTTGCTTGTATACTTATTCGCCCCAGTGGTAACATTCAGTTTTCAGGAAGGTGGCCCTTGTGACAGTGCCTGCTAATGCTACTCACTTTTCCACTTGACTGTAAGTTCCATGCGCACGAGATTCTTCCGTTTGTTTACTGGTATGTGCAGGAGTGCTGTGAAGGAGGCTTGGGATACTCTGAGTGCTGAATAAATATTGTGGTGTGATGAATGACTGTATATGATACATTGATTATAGTGTGATGATGAAAGAGCTCTCCCCACCCATGGATAGTAATAGACTGCTTAGAAAGAAATTACTAAATTACCAAAGTAAATGTTGAAAAACTTATAACTTACTTTGTTTCCATAGCAACGGTGGACAAATTGAATGTAAATGATGATGAAGTGGAGGAAACTAAGAAATCAGAGCCTGAGCCTGTTTATATAGATGAGGTATAGCCCTTTTGTTTAATAAACTACCAAGATTTCAAAGATGTATTATCTTTGAGGATGCCTGGGAACAGTGATTTTCTACTCAGCAAAGGTAACTCTTGTGTCCCCCATTTTTTTTTTTTTTTTTTTTTTTAGGAAAAAATGGATAGAGCCCTGCAAATTCTCCAGAGCATAGATCCGAAGGATTCAGAACCCGACTCCCAAGATCTCTTGGACTTAGAAGGTATTTAGTTAATATGGAGTGCACCTTAATGTTGCTTAACATATATATTACCTGTTTGTAGTATCTAAGAGATTAAGGACAGATATTCTTTTGTGTTGTAAGAGTCCTTCTTTGGTCTACATCAAAACTAACCGGTCAACCAAAGTCAACCAAACCAAACAAACAAAAAAACCCTCAGTACTTTGGGGATCTGTGCATAGGGGGATTGTACATATAATACTTGCATGAAGAAGGCTAAGGCAGTAAGGTTGTCATGAGTTCAAGGCCTGGACTGTGGAGTGAGACCCTATCAACAAACCACAAAGCCCAAACCAAACAATTTCCTTTGGAAAAAATACAGTAAATAGATAAACCTTAAATTTTTTTATAAAAGAAAGCTTGGTTATGAATATGGTGCTTTTCCCCGTTATATTTGTGTTTTTACATTTGGAAATAGATATCTATATTTTTATTAGTTACGTATTTTTATATATTATATTTTTATACATATGCATTATGTATGATGTGTGGGTGAGTATGCCATGTGCACATGTGGAATCCAGAGGATGTCTTAATGGAGTTGCCCCTCTGTTCCACACCAGAGTCATTAGGATCAAATCAGGTCACCAGGCTTGTGTAGCAAGCTCCTTTATCTGCTTAACTATCTTATCAGCTTTTCATTTTAAAAAGGCTTGAATGAAAAAGGTTCCTATTTAATGTGTGTGCACATGTGTACATACTTTATACAGTATGGGTCAGATTCGCTTTACTTAGCTAGTAGTTCAGTAGATACTCTTCAAACTGTCACAGTCATCCCCCTATAAACTTGGTTAATGGATCCAGATAAGATTTTTATTCTAATTTTGACCTTGCTTTTGGTGTATGATAATAGTATATAATAGTAAAGGTGCTATAAATGTTTTTAAAAATAGATCTTTTATCATCTTATTTCTCTATATTTTGTATGATGATGCATATTCCCTTGTTTAAGGATTGTTGGAACTGACTTAAGCTGCATTAAGTTTATATATTTGTAATTATTTCTGTGTTTACAGATATTTGCCAACAGATGGGTCCAATGATAGATGAAAAACTTGAAGAGATTGATAGGTAAGGCTTTCCTGCAGTGAAAAACAGTATCTTTTTTGTGTTTACTTGTTTTGAGAGAACTTTCCCCTGGTGAAAGTGCTTCTGGAACTGTTACCATGTATTACAATTACTGTTTAGTTGCCAAACTCTTAAAGCTGGTTGCTGGTAATGATTTTTATTTTGGGAACTTTTAATCCTCGGTAGTAATGTGGTATGCATAGAATCATGGATTCTTGCATTTGATCACACCAGTCACTTTGTTTTGGGACTGGAATTGAGTAATACAGAATAAAGTGAATTGAGGGCAAAATGAAAAAGGGAGTTTTAGGCACACATTGCCTTGCTGAATACCCAAGAGTGACATCTGTGTACATTACAAGTGAAACTTCTCTAATGTGAGAAGCTAAAGGCAGTGCAGCAACTTTTCCTGTTTTCGCTCATGTCTCTGTGTTCCTGTTGCCCTTTCAGTCCCTCGACTCCCTGGTTTAGCTGCTCTTGAGAAGGGGCAGCAGCCCTGGTGGGTTGGTGGACAGTCAGCTTCAGACTGGGTTCCGGGCCACTCTGTCATTTACCAGCTCTCTCTCTGAATTTGTAAGGAGAAACTTGAGGAATGAAGTCCAGGGGAAGGAGTTACTCTCCTCCCCTGGCCCTAGCCATTGAACTGCTGTATAAATAATACAGGAAGGAAGGAATTAGGTTGTTTAATTTTCTAATAGATTTTGTAAAGTAGGAATATGAAAAAATGTTTTGTTTCATAGAGTATTTTTAAATTTTATTTTATGTGCATAAGTGTTTTGCCTTCATGTATGTCTCTGCACCATGTATGTGCCTGGTGCCTGCAGAGGATAGAATGCGGCTTCAGACCCCCTAGAACTGGAGTTACAGATGGTTATGAGCTAAGACTCAAACCTGGGTCCTTTGGAAGAGCAGGCAGTGGGCTTCACCATTGAGCCCTCTCTTCAGTCCTCCATAGCCTATTTTTACAGATGCTTTGTGTTTCTACAAAAATGAGCTAATGAGTTGTAGATTGATCCTATTTTTGGAGAAAGCATCACACATCTACTGCTAATGATTAGTGAGTAGTCAGACTGGAAAAGTTGAGAAAGAAATCGACTAGTTTGCTATAGGCATGGCTATGGGTATAGGTATACATTTTCTTGGGCCAAAATAAATTAACCAAACCATTTGAAGTCCATACTAAGCCTGGGGAGATAATACAGTGATCAGATGTTGTGATATTCAGCACAGTGTTATCAATGACCATAAAAAAGCAGCTAGCTAAAATGCCTTTCAGTGTGAGATTCGTTTTCAAAATGAAACATTTTGTATTGCATAGTAGAAATCATTGCCATTGATACATATTTGTTGATATGGATTGATGGGAAGGTATGGCAGTGCAACCTTAAAAATATGTAAAGGAATTAAAACTAGAGTACCTGTTTATGATGTCAGTTAACATTGAATGAGAGCTGTCTGTGAGTCAGCTAGCTAGTGCCCACGTTTCATAGCAGTGGGTACAAACACAGCTTCTGTGCTGAATAGTGATTGTTTGCCCCTGTCAAGAATTCAAAAATAGATATAAACCATTTTTTCCTCGAATGAATCATCAACAGTGTGCTATCCCTACAGGGTGGGATTTGGGGTGGCAATAAAACTCTATTGTTAGAAAATTAAATTTTACATTTCATTTTGTCAACGCAGAGAATGAAATTTCATAGCATTTGCAACATTAGGAATTACAACTGTATAATACGAAAATTAGAAGACCCAGAGACAGATATTAGGGTTCAAGCTTCAAGCTAAAGATCAGAAAAGCAAAGCAGCCAAGCCAGTAGATCTTACCTCTACCAAGTTGAAATGGCAATCCTGTCTCCATGAATCCTCAGAGGCAAAAGCTCTCAGTTCCTGTCTCCTCCTGCCTTACATTTCTTTCTCCACCCAGCCATATCACTGTCTCCACCTCCCTAGTGCTGGGATTAAAGGTGTGAGCTCTCGGTTTGTCCAGTTTGGACAGCATACTGTCAACAGTTGAGGCAAAGATACTTTCTTGCCACTTTGTGGAGTTTCTTCCATGCCCAACATCTTCTCTGAAGTGGATTGCTGCTGCCAGGAACAGATATGTCTCATTGCCATAAAAAAGAACCTATGTTATTAAAACATCTTAAATGCCATATTCTGTAGATCTCTGAAGTGTTTGAAGATGACCTGTCTATTTAAAATATATCTCTGTTTGACCTTGATAACATGCCTAATATGACTACAAATTCTATTATAATAGTTGAATAATTACTAACCTTCATTCCCTTATAATCTTATATAGTTGGTAATAATAACTTTCAAGGACTAGAAATTTGCATTACATTGCTCCATGAGCTATATAGGTACAATACCTTGAACAAAATTAGAAACATATATACAGTATGTTTTAACAAATCTCAAATTTATATCAGTATACAATATTTGTATACAATATGCAGAAGTCCAATCCAATGTAAAATATTTGAAACTAGAAGTTTTTTTTAGAAGTAGATTCAATAATCTACTTTTTTATCTTATATCTGTATCCTCCCTTTTTTTCTTCTCAGAGTAGATTCAGTAATCTACCCTTTTTATTCTATCATATCTGTATCCCATTTTTTCCCATTACCAATAACAACTTGTAACCAATCCCCTAAACAGTGACAAATAACCCAGTGAATGATCACAAACCACCCACTTCACCTCTTGGGAATGTGGGTATCATGTTCTTAAAGTTAGTTCCTGCTGTCTGGGGCAACGGCTTCTTTAGAGGATCCTGAAAAGAAAAATTGGGTTAATTGTCAAGCTGTATTATTTGTTGTTCAGTCTCTGCATAATGGGAAAGTGTGGGACTTGTTTCAAGTCCTTGCTAGAGTATTCTGTGATGGTAGATCATCTCAGGTAGCCACCTCTAAATTGTTCTGAGCAGTTTGTAGTCCAAAACTGATTTTTAGTTGGAGTTGTTCAGCTTAATGGTGTTGCACTAGTCCTGGTGAAATTGTCATTGTGTGGTCCCATCTTTCTTTTGGAAACTTCAAAGGTTGCTATTAGGCATGGCCATGGTTCACTGCAGAAAACTGATAGAGACTCAAACCTGAAATCATGTACAGGAAGGTAGATGAAACCTTTTTCGAGAATTAGTTAGTACTCTATATGAGCATTAATATCATGACAGTAATTTTAAAATGTTTATATTAATCTTATAAATTTTTATATAAATATAATATGCTTTAGAAAAGCTGTTAAAAGTCAATATAAAAACCAAAGGATTAAGAGATTAATGACAATACAATAGTCCTTAAATATTTGTTTTTCGGTCTCAGATTGCTCTTCGGACATGTGACAGATTTTTGATTTTTCTGTAACAAGCATGGTTGGGTTTAGAGAAGGAGTGTCACACTCCAAATCCAAACCAGCTTTAATCTTTAATTGGACTACAAAAAGACCATTTGTATTATATGTCTGTAGAGAAAAGCGAAAACGAACATTTGGGAAGGTCAACGAAATTTTATCCTGTTGTAAATGTGATATACCACTAGGCCAATTTACTCCCTTTATCAGAACAGTTTTTCTGGATGATTTGTCTTTTTTCTTCAGATGTCGCATTTGTCCAGTGGCCTCCAGATTCTTTAACTGGTTACCTTAATTCTCCTGAAAAGACAAAAATAAAACCCTTCCCCAACCCTAATTTTGGGGGAGGTTCTCTTTTGGCAAGTTATAGCTGATCAAATGAAAAACATCTGTTAGTTTTACAGGTTAAATGGCCATGTTGCTTGATGAACCATCATCTTTTCTAATTAAGAAGTTTCTTGTTTAAATCAAATCTTTATCAGTTTTTGAGGTATCCATAGCTTTTCTTCAAAAACCTCTTCACCAGTGTAACACATCCTGGTTTCCATTCTGAGGTCAACACATCTTTGAAGTATACTAGCTGATTTAATTCAGTTTTTTTCTATTGTCCAATGTCTGTTCACAGCTGTTGTTTGCTTTCTTATTAGTGTTTAGAAAATGCAAAGTTAATAAAGCACTATACAATCTACTTCTGGAGTTCTTTATCATCCCTTTCTGTTTACTTAGGATATCTTTCAGAGTTCAATTTGATCTTTCTAAAATTGCTTGCTCTGTAAGATTTGTGGTATACCTGTAATAAGCTTAGTATTATAATAGCAAAAAACTGTTTTATTTTCTTAGAGACATAGCTGGAGCATTGTCTGTCTTTATTTGTGTGGGTATACCCATGATGGCCATAACTTCTAGTAAATGTGTAATTACTGAATCAACCTTTTCTGAACTCAAAGCAGTCGCCCATTGAAAACTGGAATAGGTATCAATGGTGTGGTATATCACCTGCATGCTGTGCTAGTGAGATTTATAATTAAGGCACAGACTTTTATTGAAATTGGGACTATTTTTCTTTGTAACTGAATTTTCAGCATCAACCTATAATATATTAAATTCTAGTACAAATTATGAATTGATTTCCATTTATGAGGTCTAGATCCAACTTTCCCATATTATTAGGAAGGCTTATCATCCTGTTGACTGAATTCAACAATTTCTCCTTGGTTTCCCTTTCTTACTATCCTTTTATTGTATATGTAAAAAGCCTTTTGCAGTGTGAATAGAAATGTACTAAACTTAAGCAGCCATTTACATTTCTATGGAAATATTTTTCTTCTATGTCAGGCGGCATTCAGAACTGTCTGAGTTGAATGTAAAGGTCTTGGAAGCACTGGACCTGTATAACAAATTGGTGAATGAAGTGCCTGTTTATTCAGTCTATTCAAAACTTCATCCAGCCCATTACTCATCTCCGTCAGCTGGGGTTCCAGTACAGGTGAGTATTTTGAGAATGTATTCATTTTTTTAAGGTAAATGTCTAAGAACATACTGTAAAGACCTATTGCCCATTAATAGAGTTATAAAACTAGGGTTGGAGAGGTGGCTCAGCTGTTAAAGGCCAGGCTCACAACCAAAAAGAAAAAAAGAGTATAAAACTGACTGTGTCAACTTTCCTTCACTGTGACAAAGTACCTGAGAAGTGTCAACTAAAAGGAGGGGAGGTTTTTGTGGCCTAATGATTTCACATGTCTCAGATGCTGGCCAGCTGGCTCCATTGCCCTGGGCCTGAAGGAGCATGTGTGGAGCAGTCGCCCCATCCTCAAGGCTGTTGGGAAGTTGAACAGTGAACGTCTGAGGCTCAGATAACCCTTCTGAAGCCCCCAGTGACCTGTTCTCTCCAGTGAGTCCTCTCCTTATAGCCTGATCAACTGTGGACTCGCTATCAGATTGATCCCTTCATGAAGTTAGCTCCCGAGCACCAAAAAGCTGGAAGCCAGACCTCCCAACACACAGCCTTTGATGTGCAGGGCTGGGGCTCTTCATACTCAGACCTCAACATTGAACTTTGATGGTCTCAGGAAGTATCTAAACACTGTTTACCATAAAGATTTCTAGTGATTCCACGAATACATTCCAGTTCATTTTAACACAATGAAAAGACCACTAAGAATATTAGGGGATTTCTGGTTCTTTGTATACCTTTGTAAGTAATAAGGACTATAAATCTTTTCTATAGATGTAAGTCCCTTATTATGAAGTGTGGGTTCTTTTATGTCGGGCATGCTGTGTAAATCCTCTGGGTTCAACAAGGAGATCAAATACTTCTTTAAAACTTCTTTCAGGGTTTGTCTTAGGTAATTATTTAAAGATTAGTTAATGAGCTTCTTTTTTTTCTTTTTTATTTGCTCTTCTAACTGGTTTTTCCTCCCTCCACTCCTTCCAGTCCCTTCCCCAAAATGTCCCCTCTCCCCCAGATCCATTCCTCTTCCTTTTCCCTTCAGAAAAGGGCAGCCCTCCCAGGGATGTCAACCAAACATGGCCTATCAAGTTACTGTAAGACTAGGTACATCTCTTATTAAGGCTGAATGACACAGCACTCAGCTACACAACCATAACATATATGCAGAGAACCTAGGTTAGACTCACACAGGCTCTGTGATTGTTGCATCAGTCCTGTGAGCTCCTTTGAGCTCTGGTTAATGTGGCCCATTTTCTCGTGGTGTCCTTGACCTTCCTGGATCCAATAATCTGCAGGATTCCCTGTGATCTGCCTAATGTTTGACTGTGACTCTCTGCATCTAAGAGCTTCTTTTATTCTCAGAGCATGCCTTATATTTTCTTTGATTTGTGACTTCAAAATGTTAAAAGAAAAAGCCATGCAATGGTGGCTCATACCTTTAAGAGGCAGAGGCAGGTGGATCTCTAAGTTTGAGGCTAGCCTGGTCTACAAAGTGAGTTCCAGGATGTCCAGGGCTACACACAGAATCTCTGTCTCAAAAAACCAAGGAAAATAAAGTCTGTGTAAAAAATTTTTGCTACAAGCGAGGTGTTGGTGCCATAAGCTACCCATTAACAGTATCACTTTCCTAGACTTTCCATGTTTTTGTGCTTACATCTAATATTAGAATACTTAATTTTTCAGTATCCCCAATTCTGAAATACTTTTCAAATTTTGGCCAATTAAATTTAAATTGAGCATGGATGAGCAAAATTCATGTTAATTTATGAAAACCAGTGTGCAATAGAGTGTGTGAAGGAGACATCAATGAGAAAAAGTAGAATGTGGGTGAATAAATTAGATGATGTAGCACAATATAGTTGGTAAGTTTTTTTTAATGGTTACTGTGGTAACTGTCACACCACACAAGAAGCATTTATCAAATATGCCATGCTGTGAACTTCCTGAAAATTACGTATGAGCTTAGAAAGGATTTCTGGGTACAAAAAGACTCTTGACGTTTATCCACTATTCCTTCCATTTTCAGAAATACATGTGTTGCTTCTGTGAAAGTGGAACAAAGTAGAGCTGTCTGTCCCACTGTTCAGTAGAACTGTGTGTGGGCTTTTTTGTGTCTGTGAAGGGTGGCCATTCCAGTGCCTGTTTCCTGTGTTGTACTCGATGTACAGCTGTTCTTTTGTTTTCCCAAGAGTTTACTTTTTTCACACAACCTCTTAATATATTAATTCACCTGTGAGTTTATTTGAAGTATCCAAAATCCCCATTCTGTTTTGAAAAATGTATCTACTGAGGATGGATGGGGTTATAGCACTGTTAGTTATGTCTCAGAAGCAAACTTAGAAACTATGAACTGCTCAGGTCTGCTCCTACAGTCATAGCCTCTTGGCACTGGGTTGCCAGTCATTGCTAAAGAGAGAGATAATGTTGTTGCACTTAATGTAGTTTATTTGGCATGCCTACTATTCTAAATTTTAATGTTATCTTTGCTTTAAGCAAAACTGGACCAATGATTACTACTGTGTGGTATTTATTAAAACATATACATTGTTTTGAATGCTGTTATAAGTAGGCAGATAAACTTTGTCCTTAGGGAACTGTTCCTATGAAAATTACATAGGTATACACAAGAATCTGGTACCTTTTTGGGGTGTCCTCAGAATGCATTTTGCCTTATCTCATAACCCCTTTCTCTCTTATCTTCTGAAAGCAGGTGTCTTAGGATTTTGTTGTTGTGAATAGATACCATGAGCAGGGTAAATATAAAGGAAAGATTTCTGTAGACTGATGTTTCTGTCCCACCCAGTCCCACAGACATTTAGTCCCAAATAAACACAAAGAGGCGTATATTAATTAGAAACTGTTTGGCCGATGGCTTAGGTTTCTTATTGGCTATCTCTTAATTATTAACCCATTTCTATTAATCTGTGTATCTCTATGTGGTCTTCACTTACCGGAAAATGCCCGGGTATCCTGTCTTCATGGTAACTACATGGCATCTCCCTGACTCTGCCTCCCTTTCTCTATCCCTGTGTTGATTTTTCTGCCTGGCTAAATCCTTCCTGTCCATTGGCTGAAACGGTTTTATTCATCAGCCAATAAGAGAAACATATATTCACAACATACAGAAGGACATGCCCTATCGTATTTCATTAGAGCTGGCTTACAGGTTCAGAGGTTAAATGCATTATCACCATGGCAGGAAGCATAGCAACATGCAGGCAGACATGGTACTGAAGAAGGAGCCTAGAGTTCTACATGTAGATCAGCAGGCAGCAGGAAGAGAGAGTGACATTGTGCCTGACTTGAGCATCTGAAACCTCAGAGCCCATCCCCAGTTGACACAGTTCCTCCAAAAAGGCCTCACCTCTTAATAGTGCCACTCCCTTTGAGCCTATGGGGAACATTTTCATTTAAGTCATATCAGGAGATATGGTACACAAAGCATATGGCCTGGCCCCCTGGCCCTCTCTTTCAACCTTCTGTTCAACAGGAAGAATTGGAGGAGGCAACCTGGAACGAGAGCGAAGAGAGTTGTTATTCTCATGGTGACCTGGACTAATCATGGGTTTTCCCTCAAGTTAAGGTTCTCTGGCAAGATGTATGTTGTTAATAGACAGTCTTGGTAGATTTCTACTTCAAAATAGTCCCCACATAATCAAAGAATAATTAGCACATTGTAAATGTTGATTGATTGAACACCATGAGTTGGAAACTCTCCATTTTTTTGTTCCAGTGTGGAAAGATTGGTAGAATCAGATTGTTCCCTAAATAATTAAAATTTTTATTTCCCTTAAGTCTTAAAACTTTAGATATGTTTAGTAAATGATCGAGAGAGCAAGGTATCATTTTTTTCTCTTTCATTAATAGACATATGCAGTTCCGTCGCATGGTGGAAACTACCTGGGTCATAACGTTCACCAAGTATCTGTTGCCCAGAGCTATGGCCTAGGACCTGATCCTATGGGCTCTTTGAGATCTCTGCCTCCAAATATGAACTCCTCAGTAACAACACACGCTGTCCAAACTCCATATTTAAGGTACGTTTTGGAGAGCTATGTTAATTTTTTCTTCATTTTAGAATGAGAACCTACAGATTCTTCTTATAGTAGTAGTCTTATTTTTGCTTTTGTTGTTTTTGTTGCATCTTTTTTTTTTTTTTTTTTTTTTTTTTTTGGTTTTTCGAGACAGGGTTCCTCTGTATTGTTTTTGGAGGCTGTCCTGGAACTTGCTCTGTAGACCAGACTGGCCTTGAACTCACAGAGATCCGCCTGCCTCTGCCTCCCGAGAACTGGGATTAAAGGCGTGCGCCACTAACGCCCAGCTAGGATAGGGTTTCTGTCCTAGAATTCAATGAGTAGACCAGACTGGCCTTGAGCTTTCAGAAATCCATCTATCTGCCTCCTGGGTTCAGGAATCAAGGTATGTGCTGTCTCACCCAGCTCTCAATATTTACTCTTTTTGTTTTGTTTTGCTTGTCAAGACAGGCTTTCTCTGTGTAGTTTTGGAGCTTGTCCTGGAACTCATTCTGTAGACCAGGCTGGCCTCTAACTCACATAGATCCACCTGCTTCTGCCTGCCCAGTGGTAGGATTAAAGGTGTGTGCCACCACTCTTAAGTGGAGTTACTGAAGTGGCTATTACTACTATCACTGGATAGAATGGGGCTACCTTTACTTCAGCTAACACCTTGGTAGTTGCTAAGATTTAAATCCACAGTTAAAGATCCTAGACAAAAATCTCACTATCTTTTATTTTTCAAGACAAGGATTCTTTCTGTAGGCCAGGCTAGGCTAGAACTCACAGGGATCATCTGCCTGCCTCTGCTTCCTGAGTGCTGGCATTAGGCCTATGCACCCCTTATTTACCCCCCCCCCCCCCCCCCCACACTCCTAGACAAAGTCTTTTTTTTGTAGTGGTCCTTCGTAGGGATTGATGCCATTGTGTTCTTAGCATTGTGTTGTGATTAGTTAGCCTAATGAAGTAATGTCAGGGACACTTACCTGTATGTATAAATAAATAGATAAATAAATAAATGATACCCATGAAAGGAAGTAAGTTTGAATAGTGGACTTTAGTTTAATATTTTTATACAAACATTACTCTGAGAATCATGTTTACTTCTTCCTATCTATTTATTTTATCAAAAACACATGTATCCAGTATTATGTGTACTTGTCCTTTTCCAACTTAAAGTCCATGAGGAGGAGGTTCAAAGACTACCTGAAAAGTAAATGAACTGTATATGTGGAGTAGTTACACTTTTACTTTCAGATCATAGTAGGTATCATGAGAAGAAGCTGTTATAATTTAAAATTAAGTGTTTTAATTTAGAATTAAATGTTTTAAATGAATCTATATTACAGTAGTAATAGGAGAAAAGCAAAGTCCTGCAATCTTTATGGTTTATTTCCCACTTAGAGTGTAAATCAGTCAGTTTGTCTGTCTATGTGATTGATCCATAAAGTACTCTGTGCAGGATACACATTGTGCAGGTGCTCTGTTGTGCAGGGCACACTGTTGTGTAGGGCACATGTTGTGTATGGCACACTGTTGTGCGAGGTATACTATTATGTAAGGTACACTGTTGTGTAGGGATGCCTGTCTCTGTCTCCCTATCCCAGGTTAGCTGAGGCCCCAGTTGAGACACTCTGCACCCTGCGCCACTCTCCAACCCTGCTCTTCTGAGTAAAAAAGTTATTCCAGGCAGGGGTGGCACACACCTTTTAATCCCAGAACTCTGGAGGCAAGAGGCAGGTGGATTTCTGTGAGTTCCAGGCCAGAGTGGTCTACAGAGCAAGTTCCAGGACAGCCAGGACGGCTACACAGAGAAACCCTGTCTCAAAAACCAAATAAACAAAATTATGTTAACAGTATCTGATGACTACACAAGCTTGAAAAGATGGAAAAGACATGTTTGTCTTGATGATCTGTTGCCATAATTCAAGGTAAATATGATTTTCTTTGTAAAATTTCTTTTGCAGCACTGCACAGGACACGGTTTCCAATCCTTCTTACATGAACCAGAGCTCTCATCTTCAGTCAGCTGCTGGTCCAGCTGCTTACACACGGCCTGTGGGGATGTCAGCAGATGTGTCTTCTTACCAGCACACGACATCCAGTTTGCCACAGCTGGCTGGCTTTCCAGTGGCAGTTCCTGCGCCTCCAGCCACACAGCCACCAACAAGTTACCACCAGCAGCCTCTCCTTTAGAGACACGCCACAGCTGTTGGAAGTCCCTGTAGGCCTGTCACTCAATCTGGGGGTTCTGATCTGGAATATTCAAACTCCCCTCTCAATCAAAAAGAACCAGGAATAATAAAGCACAAAACCCCACCTTACCCTGAAGGCCATAAAAGGGTTGTTTCTCAGTCCAGTTCGCGCGAAGCTCATCTTTTGATCAGAGGCCCCTTGAAGATGTTTCAGTTAATTTTGTACTTTCTGGGCCCTCGATGAGCGGCCTTAAAACACTACAATGGTATAAGATAGGAGTGTCAGAATCTTCCTTTAAGGAAACCATTGTTTCCTCTAAGATAATGATTTTTGAGGAGCACTGAAGACCTTTAAGCATTTTTGTCTGCATTTTTTTCAAATTTCCCCCACCCTATTATTTTAAAAGATGAACATCTTTTAGTGTAAGCCTTAAGCTTGCCAGTGTATTTCCTTCTGGATCCTTAAATTGCAGTTGTGTTTGCAGTTCTGTCAGTTTTGCTCCTAGTGTTATGCTGAGTAATAATTAGCATATAGTTGTGTACAGAAAGAAGCAAGAGCAGTTGGGAAGGAACAAAAGTATTTTCTGTTAACAGTGAAAGCCATGTAAATGCAAATGTGGTGAAGCAGTTAGCCAGTCCTGTGACAGTAGTGGGCCTGGGAACGCCCCACACAATGCTAGCCTTTCCTGAGGAAAAGATCTGTCCCTTTTTAGAATTGCCACTGTTGACCTTTTCAAGTGACTTTGGCCTTGTCTAATGAAGGTGCTGTCCTTTGGCTTCCCTTCCTGCCAAGTCCTCAGAGACTGCACTGCCTTCTTAGGGATTATCAGTGAAGTTGAGCCAGGAGACTGTCTTCATAATCAGATGTGATAGAAACCGTCATGGGATGTGAAGAGTGAGGTGGGCATGTTACTTTCTTACAGAAGTGATTGACATTCCAGTGGTAAGCTGTCATCATGCCAAGCTGTTGAAAGAATTGTGCATTCCCTCAGAAGTAACCTCTAGCCTATGCAGTAGCAGCAGCAGGCAGTGATTTGATAGAAAGGGCATGACTGACAGGGCAAGACTGACCAGGCTGTCTTTCTGAAGTCACGTTTTAAATCAGTTCATAGTTCAAGATCCCACATACTGTAGGAGCTGGTGATAAACCAGTAGGATTTATTTCCCCAAAAACTTTGCACACAATTTTTTACATAACAACAAACTAGAAAACATAGATGCACATGTTTCAGATATATGATATTTAGATCATGATGATGTTCCAAGCTTAATTTTTTAAAAAGTAAAATTTTGCATGAATGCACTTCTATATATATTTTTAAGCACTTAATCTTTCTATTAAAAATCCATTGGAAGACAATTTGGAAATTTTGTCATTTATCTATTTACAGATATTTGATTACAAGTATGTTCTTTTTTCAAAGAAACTTTGTCCTAGAACACACTACTGCATCAAATGACCCACACTGAAGAGAGCAAGCAGTCAGTGCCTGCAAGCCTGTGTTCTGTGTGTGATGTCAGTACCAGAGACTGGAAAGTGTTTCAGCCTTTACCCAAGCCCCATGTTCTGTTTTTCATGTAACATTTCATTTCAGTGAATTCACTTATATACTTACAAAAATGTACTGCAACACGGCACCTTACGTTTTTGGAAAAAATCTGTTCTTTAAAAATTAGGGAAATAAATGTAAAAGTATCCAGAGCTGCTCATGAAAACGTTTGCATATATGGGCATATTTAACCTTTCTCTTCTGGACTATATTTAATAACGCTCATCTTAATGTTTGTGCATTTAATGTTTGGTTCTTGTCTAAATTATAAAGGCTTTATTCAGTAGAAGCCTTTAAGTCAGTGTAAATACTGCATTCTCACTAAATGGGGACCAGCCAGTAAAGTTCAGCTGTTTTGAATAATAAGACATGCAACATGATCTGTATATAAATAGTATATATTGGTGTCTGTGAAGTTTAATATATGCAGAAGTTTCTCCTCAAAACGATTTTATTTTTTCCACTCATAAATTTGTGTTGTAGAGTTATTGATAGCATAAAATGATATTAAATCTGTATTGATCTGGTTTCAGTATTAATACAAAATGTAAAGATATATTTTTTCTTCCCATGATCCTATGAGCTATGCTTATTTTAAGATGTTTGTAGTTATTTATTTTCTGCCAAAGGAATAGTCCGCCTTCAGATTTCTACATTGGGTTCATATTTAATGTTTTCTAACAAAAAAATAATTTCATTTTTCACATAAATCTTGATATACTAGAAAAATCCTTAAAATAGAATTTTGTGATATAAAACATCCTCCGAATGTTAAAGTGGAATATGTTTGAAAAATGAACAGTCAGCCAGTGTTTTGTATTTGGTAATTTGTTTACAAAATTACCTCCACATTATCTTTTTACTTAGCATCTAAAGATGTATTTCCATTATGGTATTTCAAGTACTTGATATTTGACTAATGATTGTACTGTACACTGAAGATGATAATAAAGTTTCATCCACATTTTGAAAATAATTGTAAATGTGGCTAGTCTAGGGATGTAAGCCTGTGGTAGAATTTGTTCTTCACATATGGAAGTCTTTATGTTTTACCCCCAACACCACAAAATGGGTAAAGATGGCCTTAGGGATCCTTCTCTTTTAAAAATTGTATGTTTTATGTATATAGATAGGGGTTTTGTCATGTATGTCCGTACACCACATGCATGCCTGATTTCCACAGAGGCCAGAGGAGGGCATCAGATCCCCTGGAGTTAAGAGAAGGTTGTGAGCCACCGTGTGTGTTGGCAGTTAACCCAGGTCCTCAAGAGCTGAGCCATCTCTCCACCCCTGGGATCTCTTAAAGTTTCTCATAGTGAAACATCAAAGTGCAATGTCCCAGAGTTGTAGGTCAGGGTTTGTTGAATTATTGTCTTAGTGTGACACCAGTGGTTTTGTTTGTTTTTGTTTTGAGATAAGGTTTCTCAGTATAGCCCTGGCTGTCCTGGAACTCACTTTATAAAACAGGCTGGCCTCGAACTCACAGAGATCCACCTGCCTCTGCTTCCTGAGTGCTGGGACTAAAGGTGTGCTCCTTCACTACCTGTCTGGGTCTTGGGATTTTGAAGTTTGTTTCTAAAAGCACTACCAATGCCTGGCTGCCAATGCTGATTTTAATGCTAATAAATTATAAATAATACAACATGGACTTAGTGATCCTGCCAAAAGGTAGCTTTCTTTATTTACATCAGTTTTAGCTCACAGATAAAAAGGAGGACTCGGTTGGATTTTGTTGGTTTGACTTCACTTTTTTAAAATAAAGTTTCTGTTCCCCATCCCCTAACCCCTGAGGAAAAATTACTGTAAATTTATGAAGCTAAGTTTGAATTTGAGAGTTTTCTTTTTAACTGAGTCTAACAAAATTATATGATTTACATGTGGGAGTGAGATGAAGTGTCCCTTTTACCTCCAATTCGTGTCCACTTAGACTGTCATGTATGACATTACTTGGAAATAGTATGAAGGTGAGGTTAGTTAAGGGTGTTGAGGAGAAACCATTCCAACACAGGATGGGCTGTAAATCATGATGGAGTCTTCATAAGAAGATGAAGGCAGGGCCCAGTGCATGAGGCCACACGGAGTAGGAAATAGAGACTCTGCTACCACGAGGAAAGTAAGGACTGCCTGGAGCCATAGAAGCTGGGACAGGGACAAGACTTCTCCCCGAGCCTTGGAGGGAGTGTACTCTGCAAGCAGTGTAGTTGCAGCCTTCTAACCTCTGGTTAGATACAATTAAGCCTCCAAAATATGGTGCTTGGTTACAAAGTCCTGGGAAATTAGCACATAGCCAGTTCTAGGTATCTTGCATTAACATTAAAAGGTTTTCTGCCCTCCTCTCCTCCCATAGATTTCTCTGCCAACGAAGTAAGCTGGATCAAGATGGATTGAGAAAGTGTAAGAACAGCTTTATCTGGGCAAAGCAACTCCTGGGTGGGTTTTGTAGACCTAGAGATGGAGGTGGGAGAAGCCATGCCCACAAACAAAAGCAGGGAAACTTTATAGGCTGTAGGCAAGGGGTAATGATGTCTCCCACATAAGCTGGATTTGTGCCCACGTATGGCCAGAAGCTGAGCACTTTAGAGGGAACTTGGGCAGCTGGCAACTTCAGGGGAGGAAGCTGCAGTGGCCACCAAGAACTCAGAACTGGACTTTTTGGTGCCTTTCCTGCTCTGAGTTGGCGGGGTTTGGAGAGAGACAGGGCTTTCTGCATCATGCAGGGGTGAGCAAACTGGTACTGGAGTTGTCCAAAGATGCATGTAGTTCAGTGGGCAGGTCTTTTTAACCCTTGCTAAACCACAGTGAAAATGTGTGATGACAGATAAATCTAAAACCCATTTTAATAATTTGTTCCCCCGCATCTGTATTTAAGTAGTTGTTCCCTTTATGCCAGAGATGCTCACAAGACCACTGTTGATTTTGCATTCATTTACTGTCTACTCCTCTGCCCATCATGAGTAGTAGAAGCTTGACTGAAGAATAAATATTAAAAGGCAAATAACGAGCAGAACCTGGAGAGACAAAAGCTATTGAACAATGGAAATTTATGGTTAAAAATTAAAAAAAATAAAAATACACCGGGTGGTGGTGGTACACACCTTTAATTCCAGCATTTGGAAGGCAGAGGCAGGCTGCTCTCTGTGAGCTGGAGACCAGCCTGGTCTACAGAGTGAGTTCCAGGACAGCCAGGGCTACATAGAGAAACCCTGTCTCAAAAAACCAGGAGGTGAGGTGAGTAAAATAAAAATACTTTCAAAGCAAGAAACTCCCTACTTGACATTAAGTATAGGAAGCAGTGATCTATTGTTTTTAATTCACATGATGAAATTAACCACTTTCAAACATAATTTTAATATGATTTAACTTTACATTCACAAGTCACTATGAGTTTGAAAACGAGACAGTTTTGTGTTTGACTCTTTCACTTAATAGCTTTTACTTAACGTGTTTCCTTGTTTATGTTACTGGTGACCTCCCTTAGAGCCTTGTGCTTGTCGGGGAAGTGCTTTACCTCTGAGCTAAGCTTGATGGTTTTGTTGTTTGTCATTTTCTCTCAACTCAGGTTTTTTTCATGTAGCTTTGGAGCCTGTCCTGTAGCTCACTCTGTAGACCAGGCTGGCCTTGAACTCACAGAGTTCTGCTTGCCTCTGGCTCCAAATGCTGGGATTAGAGATTGTGCCACAAGCACCTGACTTGCTATTTGTTTCTATCATACTATGTATCAACCCTTCATTTCCTTTTATAGCTAAATAATACTGTTACATGTTCATATGCTGCCATACATAAACACACCACAGCAAGGCAGGGTTTCACGTAGTAGCCTAGGCTGTCTTTACAGTCAAGATCCTCCCCATTCAACCTAAGTGCTGAGAATAAGCTTGGTCCCGAACTTGGTGGTACTGGATAGACTCTGAGATTGTGTGGTTCTGTCACACAGAATAGGTCCAGAACAGGAGCTCAGGCAGGTATGCCCAGCACTGTTTTATGATGTAGAGGTGACGTCAAGGCACATTTGGTTGTGAGTAAAAGGGTTCTTTGTTGAAATAGATGTAGGCACAGCCTGTTTCTCCAAGAAAAAGGTAGCTGGGGGTGTGGGGATCAAGTGTGAGCTCAGGCCTCTGTTGCATTGAGTCCCATGTCGAAATATTGATCTTAGGCAGCCATCTTTCCCCTTTTTTCTACTCCTGTGTGCTAAACTGACCCACACCCCCAAACTTCTCATGCCTCGGTAGCTTGGTCCTGTCACATTTTTTTTTCTTAGTGCAATACTTTTGACCATGTAATGAGTTAAACGATGTCCCTGACCCTAAACAATGCTATGCTGTTGAAGCAGCTCATAATTGTGTTCGAGCCGTTCCACTTGCTTGTGTGTCTGTAGTAGACAGTATAATTTGTTTTATTTAATATGCATTTCTAACTGGCCATCTCATTTAGATTATTTCATATAGAAGTCAGGAGACAAAATAATGGAATTTGCCTTCCCAGACTTTTGTAGCCAGAGGTGACCACATGCATGATTTTTGATTCAGTGAGATTCAGGTCAGAGGTCTTGGGAAGTCTTTCCTAGGAGAAAAGAAGTAAATTTTTAAAAAGAAGTTTTGGCTTAACAGATTCCATGCCAGAAGATAAAGCAATAATATTGTGACCATGAAGGATCAAATCCTCATGGCTTAGAGAGATAACATCTTTGAATGGCTATACCAATTCTAGTTTGGATTTTATAAGTGAGTGAAAATTAAAGATCTTATCTACCAGTTTATTGGCCAACTTGCTGTTGGGTAGGGTTTTGATACTGTACCTGGAATTCCTAGCCTACATAGATCTGTAGAAGCCTTTAGAATTCAGAGGCATATTTTAGTCATATTCCCAGGGCTTGGCTCAGGCATGTAATCTGTTTGAAATGAATTTAGCCAAGAGCTGCATGGCACTGTCCAGAGCCTGATATTCTAATAGCTTGGAGTTTTCTTTGACCTTGTCGTATCCACGTGATTGTTTATTGGCATCCCATTACAATTTTTTTTGTTGTTGCATTTCATTTGTGTGTGTGGTTGGAAGGAGATTGCTATGCTATGCTTGCATGCGAAGGTCAGATGATAACTTTGGGGAGTCAGTTCTTCCACCATGTGGGCCCAGGGTACAGAATTCAGGTCCTCAGTCTTTGTGACAAATGCTTTTACATTGTATGTTATCTCACCAGCCACCATTTTAACATTCCTCAATTTATTAAAGAGTTTTCTTTTATTTGACCTAAAGCTACACAATCTGTGATACATCTTAAAAGTCAGGTTGACTAAGAAATGGAAAATGGCATTGAATATCAAGAGACAAAGGCTGGGGATGATGAGATGGCTCAGCAAGTACAGTTGCCTGCTGCACAAGCCTGATGACCTAAGTTCAATCCCCACAATGCACTTAAAGGTAGAAGTAAAGCCACAATGATGTCTTCTGATGCTTACGCTCATGATGTGGTCCACATGCCCCCCACATTGTGAGTGTGTGTGTGTGTGTGTGTGTGTGTGTGTGTGTGTGTGTGTGTGTGTGTGTGTGTGTACTTAAGAGGAAAAAAGGCATCCAGGCTTCATCCTAAGGCTCAAGAAAGCCAATGTCTTATTTCAAAAAGTGCCTTACTGGTTTCAGTGTGCATCTGTGTCCTCCGCTCCTCAAGCCTGAGAACTGCAAACAAGGCAGGAGCAGTGTAATGAACACTTCTTTCTGACCTGTGGTGGGAAGATGCTCATCTCAGAAGAATAGAAAACGTACAACCTTATGTTTTATTTTTGTGTGTGTAGGTGTTTTGCCTGCATGTATGTCTGTGCACGACATGTATGCCTGATGCCCACAGAGGCCAAAGAGAGTGTCAGATTTCCTGGGACTGGTAACAGTGTAAGCCACCATGTGGATGTTGGAAATTGATCTGGGTACCTGGAAGAACAGCCAGCGCTCTAAACCACTGAGCCATGTTTCCAGCCCCAGAAAACT